CTGTGGCAACTTCAATGAATGTATCTCAAGCAACTCTTAGATATTTTTATAGCTTAAAATGATAAATATACAATTTTAAATTCAATTAATTTCACATTTTAAAAATTACAGAAAAATGGATGCATAAACTGGGCCATAAGCGGGAGAGCCAAACACACCTACTCAGACTAATAGTCACCGTTCTAGAATGTTTGTTTTTCGATGTGTGTGTGTGTGCTGTCTCATAACATTTCGCAGAACCGCGGGAATCGCCACAGAGAGAGAGAGATAACCCCTTCCGGTGGCCGGTGGGGGCAGTATAGTGGCTTTGGTAAGTGGAGCGGAAAGGGAACTGGGAACGGAACAAGGAAGTAATGCCTGCTGTCAATGGCACGTGCTACGTGATCAGGAAAAAGAATCGTAGTTGCTGCAAGTTGTGCACAGCAAAATTTGTGGCCATCGATATGATTCCAATGAACTTGATTTTGCCATTTGTTTGGATATACATACGATATATGAAAAGGGATTTATAAATTTAAATAAATGAATAACTTAAGAGCGATGAACTTAAATAAAATAAATTTAAATTTGTGAGAATATATATTTATAAAATAACAGCAAAGCACATAGCATTTGTGATCAGTTTGTATTTGTGTCCAGTAAGTAACTATGATCAGCAAGCATCAATGAAAATTAAGTAACTATGATCAGTAAATAACTATGATCAGTAAGTATCAATAAACAAATAGTAACTATAAACAAAAATTAAATAAGTAAATAAGTAACTCTGAACATTAAGTATCTATGACCAGTGTTACTTACTGTAAGTAACTATGATCAGTAAGTATCTATGACTAGTAAGTATGTATGACCAGTTACTAACATTGAACACTAGAAAACAATGACTTGCAACTTTTTTAACACAACACATGTCTGAGACGTGGCCGGTAGAAGCCACTTCGTTCCGGGGATGTTAGAACTAGTTGGGAATCATATGCACAGATGTGCGATATTTGTTTTGGACCAATTTAAGAGCAAGCTATTTAAATGAAACTATGGAGTAATTCTTCTATATAATTTTACAAGTTTATAAATCGGAGCATGCCAAATCGTTGGACTATATATGCATATACATATATATAGCTGACATTGGAACAATCGGACGATTTATAAAACTATGTTCAGTAATTAACTGTGACCAGTAACAACTATGATCAGTATGTTTTTATGAACATTAAGTTACTCTGAACAGTAAGTATCTATGACCAGTGAGTAACTATGATCAGTAAGTATCTATGACCAGTAAGTATGTATGATCAGTTACTAACTTTGAACACTAGAAAACAATGACTTGCAACTTTTTTAACACAACACATGTCTGAGACGTGGCCGGTAGAAGCCACTTCGTTCCGGGGATGTTAGAACTAGTTGGGAATCATATGCACAGATGTGCGATATTTGTTTTGGACCAATTTAAGAGCAAGCTATTTAAATGAAACTATGGAGTAATTCTTCTATATAATTTTACAAGTTTATAAATCGGAGCATGCCAAATCGTTGGACTATATATGCATATACATATATATAGCTGACATTGGAACAATCGGACGATTTATAAAACTATGTTCAGTAATTAACTGTGACCAGTAACAACTATGATCAGTATGTTTTTATGAACATTAAGTTACTCTGAACAGTAAGTATCTATGACCAGTGAGTAACTATGATCAGTAAGTATCTATGACCAGTAAGTATGTATGATCAGTTACTAACTTTGAACACTAGAAAACAATGACTTGCAACTTTTTTAACACAACACATGTCTGAGACGTGGCCGGTAGAAGCCACTTCGTTCCGGGGATGTTAGAACTAGTTGGGAATCATATGCACAGATGTGCGATATTTGTTTTGGACCAATTTAAGAGCAAGCTATTTAAATGAAACTATGGAGTAATTCTTCTATATAATTTTACAAGTTTATAAATCGGAGCATGCCAAATCGTTGGACTATATATGCATATACATATATATAGCTGACATTGGAACAATCGGACGATTTATAAAACTATGTTCAGTAATTAACTGTGACCAGTAACAACTATGATCAGTATGTTTTTATGAACATTAAGTTACTCTGAACAGTAAGTATCTATGACCAGTGAGTAACTATGATCAGTAAGTATCTATGACCAGTAAGTATGTATGATCAGTTACTAACTTTGAACACTAGAAAACAATGACTTGCAACTTTTTTAACACAACACATGTCTGAGACGTGGCCGGTAGAAGCCACTTCGTTCCGGGGATGTTAGAACTAGTTGGGAATCATATGCACAGATGTGCGATATTTGTTTTGGACCAATTTAAGAGCAAGCTATTTAAATGAAACTATGGAGTAATTCTTCTATATAATTTTACAAGTTTATAAATCGGAGCATGCCAAATCGTTGGACTATATATGCATATACATATATATAGCTGACATTGGAACAATCGGACGATTTATAAAACTATGTTCAGTAATTAACTGTGACCAGTAACAACTATGATCAGTATGTTTTTATGAACATTAAGTTACTCTGAACAGTAAGTATCTATGACCAGTGAGTAACTATGATCAGTAAGTATCTATGACCAGTAAGTATGTATGATCAGTTACTAACTTTGAACACTAGAAAACAATGACTTGCAACTTTTTTAACACAACACATGTCTGAGACGTGGCCGGTAGAAGCCACTTCGTTCCGGGGATGTTAGAACTAGTTGGGAATCATATGCACAGATGTGCGATATTTGTTTTGGACCAATTTAAGAGCAAGCTATTTAAATGAAACTATGGAGTAATTCTTCTATATAATTTTACAAGTTTATAAATCGGAGCATGCCAAATCGTTGGACTATATATGCATATACATATATATAGCTGACATTGGAACAATCGGACGATTTATAAAACTATGTTCAGTAATTAACTGTGACCAGTAACAACTATGATCAGTATGTTTTTATGAACATTAAGTTACTCTGAACAGTAAGTATCTATGACCAGTGAGTAACTATGATCAGTAAGTATCTATGACCAGTAAGTATGTATGATCAGTTACTAACTTTGAACACTAGAAAACAATGACTTGCAACTTTTTTAACACAACACATGTCTGAGACGTGGCCGGTAGAAGCCACTTCGTTCCGGGGATGTTAGAACTAGTTGGGAATCATATGCACAGATGTGCGATATTTGTTTTGGACCAATTTAAGAGCAAGCTATTTAAATGAAACTATGGAGTAATTCTTCTATATAATTTTACTAACATATGAGTCGGAGCATGGCGAGTCGGTGAAGTATATATGTCTATACATATATTTAGCTGTCATAGAAACGATCCGAAAATTTTAAGAGGAAAAGTATAAGTTTTTTTAGTTTTCAACAGATTTTCATCAAATTTAATATATAGACATTATATATTAATCTAGAATTTGGTGTAAAATGATATAAAAATCGGACTACTATATCCTATAGCTGCCATACAATATTGATTCACAGAATGCCATTATATTAAGATAAGTTTTGATCGATTTCCGATTCTACCCTTAATCATTTATAAACTGCAAGGGTATATAAACTTTGGTTGCCCGACGTTAGTTTCCATTCTTGTTTGCATTTTCAATTTTGCATTCTTAAAAAATTTTTTCAAATTGTTAAATTTACATAAATAATTTATTTTATATACCCTTTCCTTGTATTATAATTTCAGTCAGAAGCATAAAACCCAGTGAAGGAGTAATTTCCGACCCTTTAAAATATATATAGTCTTGATCAGCATAAAAAACTGAATCGATTTATCCACCACCAACAGAAATACAAACTTTTAAAAAATTTTAAATTTTTACGAAAAAAAGAAAAGGGGTTACATCGTTAAATTTTTTACAAATGGAAAAAAAAGTATTTTTTTGAGTATGCAGATTTATTAACCTATTAAAAACTAACACAGAAAACTTTTTCGAATTGAAATTAATGCATTTTTGGCTTAGCTATGGATTTTTTAAGCTGTGAAACCCAATACAAATACAATACAAAAAATTACGTATACGTAATATTGCTCCAACCAACATCGAATATCACGTATACGTACCATTGTACTCCAGACCCCGGAAAATCTTTTCTTTCAATATCTTAAAATAGTTTTACTTTCAGTAATTTATTTTATAACTGAAATATAGTTTCATTTATCATTTTTATATGGTTTAAGGAGATTATTCTGTCAGTAATTAATTTATCAATTTTACACCCTTAAAGACGATTATAGTTTCAGTTAGAGGCTTTCAAATCAGCGAAGGAATCATTTCCGATGCCATAAATCATATATATTTTTAATCAGCATCAACAGGCAAATCTTTCTGGCTATGTCCCGGGAAAATTAAATTTTTTCAAAATTTGCACAATTTTTTAAGGGGTCACATCGTTAAAATTGTCAAAATTTTGAAATTTGTTTACAATTTAAACTGAGTATGCAGAGTTATTAACCTATCAAAAACTAGCATAGGAAAGCTTTCTGAAGTGAAATTAATGCATTTTTGGCCTAGTTATGATATTTTTAAACTTTGATTTAGCCTAAAAAAAATCGTATAAAATGTGAATTTTTCAGGTCTTCTTGAGGGCATATTTTTTGAAAGAAAAACCGTGATTGTCAACAGGCATATACATTCCAATTCGTAATTTAAATTTGAATTAACTTATGATAATAATAAATTAATGTTTTGTTGGCTTAATACTTTTATTTTAAAACGAGTGGCAAAGTGTTAACAAATATTAAACATACAAAACAAAAAAGTAAAATAAAATGGTTTACAACTAGAATAACTCTAGAAAACTCTGAGAGAAATCGATATAAAATTATATTAAAAAAGTATGCCCTTTGGAAAATATGGTTACTCTGATAACAAAAGTAGGCCTTTGCTCTGTATGTCAATTGGCACCTGTTTTCTCAATAAATTCAGTCGCAAATAAGAACTTTTATAAAAACCTACAAAATAAAAAGAGAAATACTGTAAAAAATGAAGTATCCAATTCTAATGGTAAGTACCCACATTTGTCCTTCACCTGCACTGTTTAGATGCCCTTGATCGCAGGCTATCATCGTATGCTTCCTGTCCGGCGGAGCCACTCTGGGGCCCAAGCGCAAGGGGAATGAATCTCTGGTGGAGACCACTGCTGTATCCAACTTTACGGAGTTCTTGAAGGTACCCTTCCATAAGGAAGACGATGATATGTACACCCTTATGAGCCTCTCCTTGAACCAGAAGATGCGGGAGGTCCTGACTTTTATGCATTGGGCCTACAAGTACACGGTCGCCAAAGTGAGGAGGGGAATCAACCGCTTTGAGAATAATATGGAGATTCTGCGTGAGTTGCATCGCCGTCACCAGAAGGACGCATTGAACGTGGGAATGCGTGCGAAACAACGTCGGATCAGGAACATAAGGCCCATGGCGCCATTCAAACTCGCCCGTCAGGTTCGACCATTTCCAGTGCGTTTGCTGACCGAACCCGATATTCTATCTCAATTGGCTGCCAACATCAACAACACCACCGGGGAGGACTTCATGGTGTCCATCGTCGCCGCAATTTAAGTCGAGAGGATTTCCAAAGAAACAATATTTAACATATATTAAAATTATATCAATTCTTACACTTCCAATAATACGCATTAACGTTTCGAACATTTACAAGATTTACATTTACAAATTTGCTATTATTTCGATTTTTTGTTAGATATTAAATTTAAATCAAAATCAATTATTGTGGCTTAATTGAACATCAAGAAATAGACTTGCTGCAGATGGCTTTTATTGTCGCCGGAGGAAGTCTCCAGGCTGAACTTTTTGGCTCCGGTTTTTCCGGGTACCTCCACATACATCCTTGTAAATGTACTCCCATTGACTGTCTTTACGATAACAGGGGAATCCCCGGAATAGGCTGGGTAGGTTTTTGTCTCCTTGTAAGTTTCATGCGATTTGTAACCTGGCGAGGTGTAAGATAACTCCTTATATTCTGTATAGCTTTCATTAATAGATGGTGCCTGATAGGTTGGATACGATGTGGCTTGATAAGTGGGATACGAAGGATAAGTAGTTGGTTTTTCAGTTGAAATTGTTGTCGTTTCTTCGGTGGAAATTGTCGTTGATTCCTCAGTGGAAGTTGTCGGTTCTTCTGATGTCTCCTCTGTAACCGCATTTATTTTAATGATTTTCTCGAAAGCTGGCGTTGTTGTCTCTGTGAACTCTGGAGTCTCAGTTTTTGTGGCTTTATAAGTGGGATAGCTGGGATAGGCATCGTAGGCTTTATAGGAAGTTGCGTACGGTTTATAAGTCGTTTGTTCTTCTGTAGTAGATTCGTCTGTAGTTGGTTCTTCGGACGTAGATGTTGTCTCCTGAACCGCATTTATCTTAATTATTTTGTCAAGAGGAGCTTTGGTTGTTTCGGTGACCTTTGGCTGTTCAGTTGTTGTGGTTTTATAGGTAGACGGGGCTTTATAAGTGGAATAGCTGGGATAGGAATCGTATGTCTTATAAGATGCTGGGTAGGACTTATAAGTCGTTGGTTCTTCTGCAGTTGATTCTTCGGTTGTACTAGTTGTCTCCTGGACGGCATTTATCTTAATGAATTTGTCAAGAGGTGCATTTGTTGTTTCTGTGACTTTTGGCTTCTCAGTAGTAGTGTATACTGAAGGGGCTTCATAAGTAGGAGAGGCGGTCTTATAGGAAGATCGTTCTTGATAGCTCGGATAGGAATTGTAAGCTGTTGGATATGAACTATAAGTCGTTGGTTTTTCTGTAGTAGGTTCTTCTGTAGTTGGTTCTTCAGTGGTAGATGTTGTCTCCTGAACTGCATTTATCTTAATGAGTTTATCGAGAGGAGCTTGTGTTGTTTCTGTGAACTTTGGCTTCTCAGTTGTTGTGTATACTGTAGGGGAATAATCATAGTAGGATTTAGAGACTTGATAAGTTGGGTATGAGCTGTAGGAGGAAGGCGATTGATAGGTTGGATATGATTTATATGTCGATGGCTCTTCTGTAGATGATTCTACTGTAGTAGATTTTTCAGTGGTACTAGTTGTCTCTTGAACCGCATTTATTTTGATGAGTTTGTCGAGAGATGCCTTCGTTGTTTCCGCCACCGTTTTTCTTGTTGTATCAATGGGAGTGGATTTATAGGCTGGATAAAACTTTTGTGCTTTAGTCGTTGTAGTTGGCATCGTTGTGGAATTATTCTTCTCCTGCACAGCATTTATCTTGATCACCTTTTCGAAAGTCGTCCTTGGTGTGGTTGTTGCGTGTTGAGGTGAAGCAGTCGTTGCGTATTTTGTTAAAGGAGCAATCTTCACGGTAACTGGAGCTTTGGTTGGGGAAGCTGTCGTAGAGGACTCATTGGTGGATTTAGTTACTGGTGCTTCGACCACTGCATTAATCTTGATGTTCTGTCGAAGATTTGAGGCCAAAGTGGTGGCACCGGGCTCGGGCTGGGGTGTGGTAGTAGGTGCTGCAGTTGTCTTCTCCGTGGTACTGGTCATTGTTGTGGAAGTCGTGCTCGTTGTGTTAGAGTTATAGGCAGGCTTCTCATATGTAGGATTATCATAAGTATTGGGCTTCTCATAGGTCGGCTTCTCATATGGCTTAGAGGTTGTAGCATAATCTGTGGGCTGTTTCTCATACGAATCGGCATTGGATCCCGGTGCAGGATACTCGCTGGGCAGGTTCTCATACGTTTTGCTATGAATACCAAACTCCGTTGGCAGGTTCTCCCAGGTTATCTCATAGGGATAGTAAACGGGCGTCTTGTACGGAGGCGGAGGTGAGACGAACGATGGCTGAGACTGTGATGCGATTGCGTAGGGACTATATGGTCCATAGGCTACAAATGATCTTTGGGACTCATATGATCTATGATAACTTCCTTGAGAGCCATAAGCTCCTTGCGATCCATAAGATCCCTGGTTTCCATAAGATTGTTGCAATCCAGAGTATCCATGGTGCGATGGGTAGGGATTTACGGCATAGGGATTGTAGTTTCGAACGCGAGGTGATTGGCCAGCGGGATATCTGCTCTCGCAAGGACCATCGTGCTGCTTCCTCCAAGCTGCAAAATAAAGCATACATTTTTATAAATTTCAAAACAATTTAGTTTTCAATTAGTTAATTTATAGACAGCTTCTTTGCAGTGAATCAATACTAGACTAGAACGTGCTGCATTTCCCACGCGACGTTATTGAATTTTATAAATACAATGTTGTCAAGTTTTTTATTAGTTTTTAAATTGATTTAAGGAATTAAAGGGGAATACTCACGGTCACCGGTGCGGCACTTGACCAGCTGCAGTTCGCACTCACTGTTGAAGTTGCGCCTCTCGTCCTGGAACTTGCCGCAAACGGGACTATACTGATTCCGGCAATGTCCTGGACACACCTCCAGGTTGTCGCATCGGCCCTCATGGATGATCTGCCAGTCTGCGGCGAATAGAATGTGAATGAGCTTTCGAAAAGGATTAAATTCAAGGAATATAGAAGCTTACCCTTGCCGGTGACAGTACGAAAACGAGCCACCTCACAGGCATTGGGGAAGGTAAAGGGTTCCGATCCGGTAATTCCAGCACAAACGAGGCCTTCAGGACCCGATGGTGGACACGTCGACAGCTCGTACTGCTGCCCCTGGCCATGATGGTAATTCGGTGCTGGATGGTAATGTTCCAAGCCGTAGTCCCATCCCTGAACGGCTACCACAAATGCGAATGCAAATCCAAGCGAAAGACTTGATGTCATGTTGAGAACGATGCGAGACCGACTATGCCTTGACCTCGATCCAGTTCCAGCTTTTATACCCCATTATAGTTAACCATGATCCTATTCCCGAGGTGTGCTCATACCATTGACATTTTGCGTACGTGTCGCGGCCCCTGTTTGGATCATAGTTATACTATTATGGTATGAATATTGCCCCATAATTCCTATCAATTGCTGACCCAGACGCCGCTTCTTGCACTTCATTATGAAATACATAATATTATATATTTATATATGTATATATATATATATATTTTTTTTTTTTGCTGATATAGCAGTAGCTTGGTTAACCTTGAGTCATGGGAAAATCGTCTGCGAATGACAATTCTTTGGAAGACATGAGTCAGCTGCATATCGGAATATGATAATGTTGGGTAATTTCAGCTTGAGTTTGAACTTGAACTTGATATTAATTTTGACCAGTTTATAAATATATCTGAAGTCATTCTGTTTGGATGCAGCACTTGGTGGGGCATCACAGATCACGTTTCTAATGACATAATACCAGAGTCTCGGATTAACCTAACTCTTCTTGGCTACATGCTTTTATTTATTTATTTTTATTTCGATTTAGCATATAAACCAAAACGTGATCGATTGACTCTAGGAGGAGGAATTCCTTTTAACAGCTTATAAATGGCTAAAACTCTTTCATTGTGGACTCATTGCAGTTCTGGACTCTGACGGATATAGGTCTCAGTTTGTTTTTATTTGTGTGCTAAGCGTGATAGGTTCCAAATTGATATTTATTATGGGTCTACGTACATAACAAATTTCACACATGACAAAAAATATATAATGAAATACGCAATCTAATATTGGAGAACATGGTAGGACGAGCCATACCACTGATAGTACGGTGTCTTCTCTGTGCCATAGCCATAAATGTTTTTGAGTCCAGCCTGAGTTGTAGTAGGTGTGGGGCTTGCTGCCTCCTCCAGAATGCAGCCGGAGATCTGGAACACTACCGTCGACCCTGTGGTCACCAGGATATTGGTCACTGGCGAACAGCTTGGCTCTTTCGTTTCCGGATCCATACCCGCCTCGACTAATGCAATTCTCGTAATTTGACCATTGTCATCTCTGACGGAAATCGTAACCTCATGGTTCTGTAAGAAGGTTTGTTGAGTATTTTTTAGATAACGTAATCGTAAATACAATTAATGACTTACGGCAATAGCAGTAGGTATTATAATTCCAGCAGAAACAGCCCCATCAACATCAGTAGATGATGTTGTGGCAGCTTCGTTTGTTGTTGTTGAATTAGTAGGATCAGATGTGGTAGTGGTCGTAACCTCTGTGGATGTTGATGGCGAAGCCTGCGTAGATGTTGATGTAGAAGGTTCGGTTGAAGTTGATGTAGAAGGTTTCGTGGATCTTGATGTGGAAGTTTTTGTGGATGTGGATGTGGTAGGTTCTGTCCATGTTGATGTGGCAGGTTGTGTTGCTGTTGATGTTGCAGGTTCTGTTGATGTTGTTGTGGAAGTTTCTGTAGATGTTGATGTTGCAGGTTCTGTTGATGTTGATGTTGCAGGTTCTGTTGATGTTGATGTGGAAGTTTTTGTGGATGTAGATGTGGATCTGATAGGTTCTGTCGATGTTGATGGAACAGCTTCTGTAGATGGTGATGTTACAGGTTCTGTTGATGTTGATGTAGAAGGTTCTGTTGATGTTGATGTTGCAGGTTCTGTTGATGTTGATGTGGAAGGTTCGGTGGAAGTCGATGTAGTAGATTCTGTCGATGTTGAAGTTGCAGGTTGAGTGGATTTTGAAGTAAAAGGTTCTGTTGATGTTGCAGGTTCTGTTGATGTTGATGTGGAAGATTCGCTGGAAGTCGATGTGGTAGGTTCTGTCGATGTTGATGTAGAAGCTTCTGTGGAAGTCGATGTAGAAGGTTCTGTGGATGTTGATGTGGATGGTTCTGTGGAAGTCGATGAGGTAGGTTCTGCCGATGTTGATGTCGAAGGCTCTGTAGAATTAAAAGGTTCTCTTAAATTTGATGCAGAAGCATTCGTGGAAGATGCTGGGGATGTTGATATAGATGCTTCTGTAGTCGTTGTCGTAGTAGCTGGTGTTGTTGTAGGTGCTACAGTTGTTGGTGTTGTAATAGCTGCGGTTGTTGTAGTTGTACTACCTGGTGTAGTTGTCGTGGTACTTGTTGTTGTATAAGACTTTGCGGTCGTCGTAGGACCTTCAGGATGGCAAGGTTGCTTAGTCGGCGGGTGACGTCTTGTTGGATAATACCAGTACGGCTGCCTATAACTCACGGGCGGCATCGTTGGCGGCGCAGGTCGATGGAAAGTCCAAAATGGATATGGCTGCACCGAGTCGAGGCCATAAATCTCCGGTTGTCGATAAGTCTCTGGAGGCGGAACAGCGCCGTAGGGTGTAATGTAGGTAATGTGCTCGGGATGAATACATGGTCTCGGAATGTACATTGAGTGGGTCGAACTGGGCGAATGGGACATTAGCAAACTTCTGTAGTTGCTATTGTAATAATAACCAACATTACTGGACCTGTGTGGTGGGAGAGGTGGTGGTGGTTTTGGATGACAATAAATGGAGTCTGTCTGCTCGAATTCTGTAAAGCAAATGTTTTAAGTTATAATAACGAATTGTAATATCATACCTATATTTGTGATAATCTATGTATCTATATGTCTCACCTCTTTGTCCGCTTAAAATCATCTTCAAATTGTAGTCATTAAGAGCGCAGGAGCTCTCGAAATCGCGATAAGTGTGCCCATTGGTGCCACATATCCTGGGACCACAAGGGCCGAAATTATAGCTATTTCGCGGATTATATCCAGACCATATTGCTGGTCGTCGGTAGCTGGGGTGATCCTGGGGTATCACAAGGGCCGGCAAAAGCAGGCAAAGGCTGGTTAATAGTCTCCACATGATGATTTCCGGCATCCAACTGATGACTTCTTGGCGCCCTTGGCAAACTATTTATACTGAAGTTAAGGCCAAGTCCATTGAGCGTCACAACAATGGATATTCAGTGAGCTGCAGACGGCGTCTGGCTATCGGAATTATATTATATATACGTGCTTGACCCCCGTTTCCATTTTAGGTTGTCCGGGAAAGGGAACATAAAGAAGAACCTAAGCGAACATAACCCAGAACAGCAGCTCCGTCTCGGATCTGGTGTCTTCGTTGTTCTCCTCAGATATGGGTCCCCAACTTGAGTACAAAGAAAAGCGAAAAAAGAAGCAAAACAAAAATTAACAGAAATCTTTTAAGTTCAAATGACTGAACTGCTTGCGATGCTTGGTTAGGTAAACTGCCTTACCGAGACACACTGCGTCGGAAATACTGAAAAGCAGTGCTCTATTTAAACTATTTACTATAAAATATTACTCACCTTTGAATATGTATATGTGTTGCCATTATTCCATGGCCTTCAATGAATGGCCTAAATCATGGAAATATCTTCTTCGTTTTGCAAACTATATTACAATTTTGTTTGTAAGGTAAACCCTATATTTCGTTGTTTACCTTAATTTTGCGAACAATAAAAATGTATGGTAAAATCCCATAAAATTAGATAACGGCCGAAATATCCTTTTCATTTTACGAACTATCTAAATTTATGAAAATCTAAACGTCGTGACGTTAGTCTGAGAAAACTGGTCAAATTTAGTTTTTAAGGCGGTAACACCGTTCTTCCAAAGGCTTTTCCAGCTCCTTCCGGAGAATGTTAATATACGATTGTCGAGTTTCATCAGAGGTTTTCCACATATGTGAAGCCCTCTGGTACAGTACTTCCCTTGGTAGCTGGCCATGCCCCTCCCAAATCTCCGAGTCCCACAAGCAATAATCCTTGAAGAAGACGTTGAAACATATGCATGACGATGTTCCGTCTTCATCGTCACTATCACTGCTGTCTGAACTTAAATTTGGATTTTGGTTTAAATTACAATACATTTTTAAAACCAAACTAGAAATTTGCACAAGAAATTATATAATTTTACACACAAGCTAGAAATTATTTACGGAACGTAGAGAGTACACTGAATATTTGTTTAGTGAAAAGGTTTGACTGAATGTAACAATTCTAGTTAAAGGCGTATAGAGCAAAGCTTACTTCAACAATTCTATTCAACTTAGCCGCTGCCATTGTTCCAATTAAAAAATTAAAATTACTAAATTAAACCATTATACATTTATTTTGTCGCAAAATATTACCATATTAAAATATATTAAATATGGATATTTATAGATATTTATTCAAAGTATGCTAATATTTCAGGTTAAATGGGGGATTATAAATTTCTCACATACCAAGGCGCACTGTTGAACGTGTTTGAGTTAGACGCTGTAACCCACATTTGAATGCAATAGGTCTTACTAAAGATCGGTGGAGTAGAGAATTGTGTTTAAATTAACCGACAAATTTGAATTCAAATTTCAATAGATTCAATACAAATCTGTTATTTACATTAATTACAAAAAATTATAAAAGAAAGGAGAGGAAGCTAACTTTGGAAAACTTTGTATAATCTTGCAAAAATCAAAAGTCCAAAATGTCTTAATTTCAATTCGGAAAACAGTTCTATGCTAGTTTTAATTAGCCTAAAATATCTGCATATTGTATTCACAATTTAAAATTTTGAATTTTTTTTTTTAATTTTTACGATGAAACCCCGTATACAATTTTCAAGATTGTTCCCTCCCAAACTAAGCTAAATCGACTCAGCTCTTATGCTAATCATAAATATTATGGGGTCAGAAATGACTCTTTCACTTGAGAATTAAATTATAATGCTAAGAATCAATTAATCTATTCGATGATAAAGAAATCGTTGCTCTCATGCGAATTATTGAAATGTTTGTATATTTATCATTTTTATTATTTATTATTTTGCTGTTTTTCTTTTCAAAAGCAAGTCTCTATATTTATATTTGCAAAAAAAATGAATGACCTGTTTCTAAAAGCAGTAAAGGATGGATTTTTCTGCCCAAAATAGTATGCTATTATTATTGAACAGCGATCTATTTTTCTATGAAAAATGTTGCATCTTTTGGGCTAAATTAATAAGCACACAAGCTGAAGTGGTAAAACATAGCATACATTTATATGCAGTGGTCAAAAGTGCCCACAGTTTGACAGCCACTGTGCCAAATGTAAATTAAGCGAAGACCCAAGGGCAGGCAGTGCATTCTACCGAATCGACAGCAGCCAATTGCTTCAGCCTAAAAGATGTTTTAATATTTGTATAAGAATAAAAGGATAATTGCAAAAGGACAAAGCTATAATTTTATTAATGTTTACATGGTGATTAGATGATTTAGTCGGCAATATTTTCATAATTTTAGAATCAATAAAAATACCAGATTCCATAAAATGACGCAAAGCACCTTCTGCTTGGCTGGCTTGCCAACTCCTCATAGGAGCCATCGGTGGCCTGTGAAAAGAGAGGAGAGCATTAAATAAGGGAAGATTTTTCAGTGGAATCTCTTCTAGACACTCACCGATACCCCATTCTTTTGGTAAGCCGAAAAGAGCTTGTCTATCGACACCAATTGCATGTTGTTATACAGCTCGCTCCAGACGGGGCCCTGGAGCTTGACAGTCGTATTTCGATATTAAAGTAGAGAACATTAGCGGTCACACTTCGAAATATAAGTAGTGAAACATGAGTTGGTCACACTGCAAAAAGTGCATTTCCGCTTGTGTTTGTATATATCTACACCTAGCATTAGTCACGCACATTGCACCCGAATCGGAATAATTTGAGGTGCTCTTAATAAAAAAAAAACACCCTTAATTATTCATATAAGTAATGTAAGTACTGAACAGGGAGCCGGCGACGGCGGCCAACTGAAAATTGGTGGAAATGCAAATAATTTATTACTCATTATTTGCCAGACATTCCATCAGACTCGTATTCCGATGACGTTCGATGATGAGATCACCATGGTTTCAGATAACTGCATGTCATCAGCCGAGCGTCACAGCGGCACATAGCTGCACGTCATCACCTAAACGTCACAGTGGCACATACGGAGCTGCACGTCATCAGCCGAACGTCGCTGCTGTACATGGCGCAGGCAATCAGCGGAAAATCAAAGCGGTCACACTTTGGTATATAAGTAGTGAAACAGGAGTTGGTCCTACTGCAAAAAGCTTGTGATAATGGATGTGTGCATTTCCGCTTGTGTTTATATATGCTTACACCTGGCATTAATCACGCACATTGCACCCGAATCGGAATAATTTCAGGTGCTTTTAATTAAAAAAAAAACACCCTTAATTAAATAAATAATGTAAGTACTGAACAGAGAGCCGGCGACGGCGGCCAACTGAAAATCAGTGGAAATGCTAACAATTTATTACTCATTATTTGCCAGACATTCCATCAGACTCGTATTCCGATGACGTTCAATGATGAGATCACCATGGTTTCAGATAGCTGCATGTCATCAACCGAGCGTCAGAAGCTGCACGTCATCACCTGAACGTCACAGTGGCACATACATAGCTGAACGTCGCTGCTGCACATGGCTGCAAGCAACCAGCTGAAAGTCAAGGCGGTCACACTTCGAAAAGGTAGTCAAAATGAGTTGGTCACATTGCAAAAAGCTTGTAATATGTGTACATTTCCGCTTATGTTTGTCACGCACATTGCACCGGAATCGGAATAATTGTAGTTGCTATTATTTTAAAAAAACACCCTTAATTATTGACATAAATAATGTAAGCGCTGAACACGGAGCCGGCGACGTCGGCCACTGAAAATCTGTGGAAATGCATTCAGCTTTATTCACTATTTGCTAAACATGATGTTCGGTGATGAGATCACCATGGTTTCAGATAGCTGCATGTCATCAGTCGATCGTCACAGTGGCATATAGCTGCACGTCATTAGCTGAACGTCGCTGCTGCACATGGCTCCATGTCAGTTGATCGTCGCTGTTGTACATGGCTGCAAGCAACCAGCGGAAAGTCAAAGCGGCCACACTTCGATCTAAAAGTAGAGAAAAATGAGTTGGTTACAGTACAAAAAGTTCCTGTCATAGGGTTGACAAAGTAGCTATTTTCTAGCTGAAAGCTTTAAGCTTTGAGCTTTAAGCTCTGCTACAATATAGCTAAACAGACATCTCTAATTTGCACCTCTTGCACTAAAATTAATCAGCTTTCTGCTGATTCTGTTCGCCTGGTATTTCAGGTCGAGAATTAAATGGACTCGGACCGATTTTTGACGGAATCGAAGACTTGGTTTTTGCCTACAACAACAACAGTACTGAAACTGATCAAAGTGAATGCTGCGTTTTTTCTGCAACAACAATAAACAACGCTTTTACAACAATTTTAAATTAAAACAAAATCAAAAATAGACTATATTAAATATGTTTATTTGACGTTTTTGAGTGGTTTAAATTTATTCGTTGATAAGCAGCTTCTGCTACCCTTTGCCGTTCGCCCTCTTTGTTGACCGCCTCACATTTTCGGCATTCTTGTTGATCAGGCTTTCCCACTGGACAATGAGGCCTCGCGATGTGCCTCCATGTGCGTCAGATCACAGAGCTGGCCCATCGCTGGCTCCATTGGCTGTGTAGGCGGCTGCATTCCGGCTGCGATTGCCATCGGGCTTGTGTACGATCTCCGGTTCGTTGCATTGCGCAGTTTTTCAGGTCCATAGCAGTGCTCCACCTCAGAGTCTTCATCGTCAACCTCGTCCGCATCGGCCTCGTCTGTGCTGAGCTGGCTGGAAACGAAAAAACGTAAGATAAGAGGGATTCTTGAAAGCCTTGACGTGTACTCACAGCTTTTCCAGCGAAACCTTCAGTGTGTTCTGCCTGTTAATCTTGTGCAGGCGCTCCAGGGCTTGAGGTCCTGCAGCTCCTGCTGGATCTTCTGCTCGACGCACCGGGCTGCTCTCTGGGTCCCGCTCGATGGCTGCTGGTAATACGGTGACCGTGGTAATGCCCGTTGGCGAGTTTCCGTGCTCCAGATTGCTCCCAGAGCTGGTGATGATGCCCAATGACGAGACGGGCGGCAGGGGACTATTGGGTGTCACCAGCTTGCCATGGGAGGCCATAAACCGCTGCATCACGCCCTTGGTAGGGCAGGCCGGTCAGCTGCGGCATGGAAATGGTCCTGGTGATGAGCTTCTGCTGCGGCGGCTCCGGTGTCACGTTGTAGCAGTTGGTCCAATGTAACGCTGCTCCTGGCGGGTGACCACGGTCAGCTTGCGCGGCTGCTGCTTGTCCTGGAGGTTGTTGTTGCTCTGCGAGGAGGCCGAGGAACCAGAGTCATCCGAATGCTGGCTATCCTCCGTAGCGCTGTTCACGCTAGAGGCCAGCGAGGGTGTGGGATAGCTCATCAATGGGCAGCAGGAGCGAAGTGGTCTGCACTGCCGCCGGCTGGGCTTTGACGAGCACGCCCTGATCATGATCCAGCTCATCCTGATCCTGTGGCTGCTTCTGAGTGCATTCACCATAACCCAAGACGTAGGATGTCAAAGCTGCACGTGGTTGTCTGACAGCAGTTGATCGAAGCTGCTCCACATGGTTCCATGCAAAAAGTCAAAGCTGCACTTGGTTGCGTGCCAGCAGCTGATAGTGAAAAATTAGCTGTTTACACTGCAAAAAGTTGTAAAAAAGATTATATACATACATGACGATTCTGGGGCAGGCTGCTTAGCTGCGAAGTGGAAATGGTCCTGGTGATGAGCTTCTGCCGCGGCGGCTCCGGTGTCACGTTGTAGATGTTGGTCCAATGTAACGCTGCTCCTGGCGGGAGACCACGGTCAGCTTGAGCGAGTGCTGCTGCAGCTGCTTGTCCTGGAGGTTGTTGTTGCTCTGCGAGGAGGCCGAGATGCCACAGTCAGCAGAATGCGGGTCTTGTTGGCGCTGTTCGCGCTAGTGGCCAGCGAGGGGGTGTTGGTTAGCTCATCAATGGGCAGCAGAAGTAAAGTGGTCGGCACTGCCGCCGGTCGGGCTGTGGCCAGCACGCCCTGGACATGATCCAGCTCATCCTGATCCTGTGGCTGCTCCTGAGTGCATTCACCATAACCAAAAAACGTAGGATATCAAAGCTGCACATGGTTCCATGCCAGCAATCGATAGTCAATGCTGCATATCGTCACTGATCGTCGCTGTTGCATATGGCTGCAGGCAACCAGCTGAAAGTAAAAGTGGTCACACTTCCATGTAAAAGTAGCGAAACATTAGTTGGTCACACTGCAAAAAGCTTGTGATATTGGATATGGTCCCACCTTTTTTAAAAGTAGTGATGGCCGCCTCAATAACCATCCCGTTTTCGCCATTCTTCTTGATCAGGCTTTGCCACTGGGCAAAGAGGCCTCACGATGAGGGGCCTCCTTGGGCGTCGGATCACAGATCTGGGCCAGCGATATGGCCGGACGCATCCCATTAATGCTGCCATTGCTGACTCCATTAGATATGTAGGCGGCTGCATTCAGGCTGCAATTGACAGCGGGCTTGTGTACGATCTCCGGTTTGTTGCTGTTGATATAAGAATGAAAATTCAATGAGAATCGAACTCCTTTAAGTAGGTTATCTAGCACTTGCCCATTTATATCCAACTCCTGGGTGGACTCGGCATTGCGCAGTTTTCCGGGTCCATAGGAGTGCTCCATCTCAGAGTCCTCATCGTCAACCTCGTCCGCATCGGCCTCGTCTGTGCTGAGCTGGCTGGAAACGAAAAAACGTAAGATAAGAGGGATTCTTGAAAGCCTTGACGTGTACTCACAGCTTTTCCAGCGAAACCTTCAGTGTGTTCTGCCTGTTAATCTTGTGCAGGCGCTCCAGGGCTTGAGGTCCTGCAGCTCCTGCTGGATCTTCTGCTCGACGCAACGGTCCGCCCTCTGGGTCCCGCTCGATGGCTGCCGGTAATAGGGTGACCGTGGTAATGTCCGTTGGCAAGTTTCCGTGCTCCAGATTGCTCCCAGAGCTGGTGATGATGCCCAATGACGAGACGGGCGGCAGGGGACTATTGGGTGTCACCTGCCGGTGATGGGGTGACCGTGGTAATGCCCGTTGGTGAGTTGCCGTTCTCCAGGAGGGCCAAAGCCGCGCGCATGTGCAGCTTGAGGGTGTTGTTGGTGCTGACTTCCATTTTGATTGCTCCCTGAGCTGCTGATGTTGCCCAAGGGCACCACCGAAGGCAAGCTGACGCTTCTGGGGCTGGTCGCTGCTCCTGGCGGGTGACCACGGTCAACTTAAGCGGCGGCTGCTGCACTGCCGCCGGCCGGGCTGTGACCAGCTCGCCCTGGTCATGATCCAGCTCAACCAGATCCTGTAGCTGCTCATAAGTGCATTCACCGTAACCTAAAGCATAGGATGTCAAAGCTGCACGTGGTTCCATGCCAGCAATCGATAGTCAAAGCTGCGAATGTTTGCATGCCAGCAATCGATAGTCAATGCTGCACATGGCTCAATGTCACCGGATCGTCAATGCTGCACATGCCTCAATGTCAACTTATCGTCAATGCAGTACATGGCTCCATGTCAGCTGATCATCATCTGGATATCCTTGTCCATCTCGCCCAGCGACACCTTGGAAGCCTCACGGGCATGCGGAATGTGATCCTCCAGCTCCAGTGGATCCTTAAATTTACTCTCGATTACCTGGACGAGATATTGCAGCAGGGTGGTGCCCTTGGCGGCACTGGACTTGGTGTCGGCCACGCGCCCTGCGGTTCATGTAGTTGTCTGTAGTATTTAAGAATGCACTTAAATAGTGAAAATAAATGAAAAAGTGAATGCATAGATTACCCATAGCCAGAATCAGCTCAAGGAGCTTTCGCAGACGTCGGGAACTAGCCACTACGCGGTACGCCTCTATTACACTGGCGATGCGGTGTATAAGATCGTTGACCGTCGGCATAAAGCGCTTCCTGTAGTGGAGACTCTTCAGCCTTTACTCGTAGTGGGGAATCCTGCCAAGACAAAAGAACAAATAGTTTAGTGACTGCCAAATCTCTTCGATGCCCTTCAAACCCACTTTGATATTTCGTAAAGGAAGCGATCGGCGCGGGCCAGTGACTCAATATCCTCTTTATGCTCATCCAAAAGTGCATGTTCCTCCACCGCGGGCGTAAGCTGCTCCAAGATGTCGAGTGTCAGCTGCTCGTTGCTGTCCATCGAGAAAATGGCCCTAGAAGAGAAGAGATTAGTATTTGGAACCAGGACGTGACTAAAGCAACTCCTACTCGCTCATCTTCAGCTTGCTGAGCAGGACGGTGCAGTTCTGGGCCGGCGTCCATCGATCACTGAGAGCACCTTCTGCTTGGCTGGCTTGCCGCCAGTTGCCCGCAGATCCTCATCGGAGCTATCGGTGGCCTGTGGAAAGAGAAGAGAGCATTAAATAAAGGAAGGTCTTTCATTGGAATCTCCCCTAGACACTCACCGATACCCCATTCTTTTGATAAGCCGACAAGAGCTTGTTTATCGACTCCAAATCCATGTTATACAGCTTGCTCTCGTCAAGCTCGCTCCCGACGGTGCCCTGGAGCTTGGCATCCGGCAGCTTGGACCATTTGATGCTCTTTAATGGATTCGTGGGCTGTGGCACGTTATTCTTTGGCAGTTCCACCTTGGGTGACACAGGATCTGCAGGCAAAGGATAGAAATTAATTTATGTGGCGCTCCTTGGCTTAACTTAACTCTGTACTCACCCATTGCTGGCGTCATCTACGGTGGCGAAGGCAGTGCACCCGGCGGTGGTGGTGGCATCATGGCCGGCGCCATTTTGGCGGTGGCGGCATTATGGCCGG